TGCATATTTGTTTGGTAATTTGGTTTCACCCTGCCAAAATTTCTGCTACCATAATTTGGTGATGTTTGAATTGGATGGTTCACACAAGACACAACTGGTCTAGACATGGCAGTAATGCGTTGCCAATTATAGTTTAGTTTACTGTCAACGGGCAGCCAAAACTAGTGCTATCAATTGATGACCACAGTTTTGGACATGCCATACTCTTGTCAGAATTTTGGGCCTAGGCGGGGCTACAAACCAAAAGTACCGTACTTAAAACTGGGGTTAAATCAGACATAATTTATTTTTTTCTGAAGTGCAAATGGAGTCCCTGTAGAACTTTGTTAGTGTTGCCTCAAGAACACCCACTATCCATCATTTTTTTCCTCAAATAGAAATGTTTGCCAAGATATTTCTTCAAGTGATCTCTCTGAAGTTCTATTAATGTACTCATCCTAGTTCTTTCGAGCCCTTTCTGCATTTTTGCACATAAGTGACTTGTTACAGTTGAAACCAGACTCGTCAGCTCTATCCCTTTTGATGGACAACAAAGGCATAAACCCACTTGATGTTAGCATAACGGCTCCAGATTATGTGACGTTGGCACAAGATACAGTTCATGTTGAAGCAAACGATCACAATGAGGTATGCTACTGTGCATAATAATTTATCTTTGGAAATAATCATACGGTTGGCTCTTATGGCTTAATCTTCTCATATGAAATGTCTCAGCATTTTGCTTTTGCTTGGAGTATATACATTTCTGAAAAAACTGTCATTTCCTTTTTCATTTTGCAGTGGAAGTTTGTCCAACAGGCATATGAGTGTCTTGTGGCACTTTCCCAAGCCGTGGCTGCAAAATCCAGTTTTGTGTCTGTTGTTCCATGATTGATCATGGGTGTTATACCACACATGAATTGCAGTATAATATGCCTATCCCGGTCTACAGACACGCTTAGCAGTAGTATTGTATAATTTTTTTCTAATATTTGTTAAATTGTCTCCCTGGGTCTACCTTTGCTCTAATCAACTTCGATATAGAACCGGAACTTCGGCATTCTGTTTTTAGTGTTGTCTGAGTGCTGTACTGATCTTCTCTTCTTCTGTCATTATTAATCCAGACACAGGTGAGCGTTTCTGTCAGCGAAACCATGAATGACATGTTGATGGTTCTCAAAGTCACAGAAGAAAAAACCTGCAGAATCAATCTTGATACCGCAGTCACAAGGAACACCTTCCGAATAATACCGAGCGGAGGGTGCGTAAGCAAGATGGTGGGCCAGCATAACAGAAGCTTGATGCACTGGAGCTACCGGTGGGACGACAACTCGAGAGACCTGGGATGGTAAGGAGGCGCCGTTGACACCATCGAACTCTATGCCCAACCTGCTGTCGACAGGTCTGGCTTCAAGTAGGTCGACCAAGATGGCTGGGAAGATTAGCTGGCAAACGGATGTCTATATCAATGCCTATAATGTTTTCATCCTTTTCATAAAAGGGAATTTTTGTGCCTAGCTTTTTTGATAGATTTCACGAGGGAATGTAATACGTTGGCACCACTGTTTTCTTAAAAAAAATGCAGGAGAGAAGAAATATGAATCTACTGCAACACCAAATCATTTTCATTAGACTAGATTTGTCATAATTTTTTTTGTAGTTATATAGTACTCCCTCCGTTCCTAAATATTTGTCTTTCTAAAGATTTCAACAAGTGACTACATACGGAGCAAAATGATTGAATCTACACTCTAAAATATGTCTCTATACATCCGTATGTGGTAGTTCATTTGAAATCTGTAGAAAGACAAATATTTAGGAACGGAGGGAGTATTTGATATTGTAATTGTAAGCACTTTTTTTTCCGTATATACTCGGCCATTCCTTCAAAAAGTTTGACATAGGACAAATCTAGAACTTCAAGTGGCAAAAAAGTTTAGCCAATCTGAAAAGTGCATAACTTCATAGCAGAAAATGGTTTGCCGATTAGCTATGAAAGATTTTTTTTTCCGGACCAGTTTATTCCCAAAAGATTTGTCAGCTAATCAGAGTAAAAACACTTCATTTCCAGGCACTGTTCCAAAGCAGGAAAGATCTCTACAATACATCTGCGGTACACACTACACAGCGCAGCTGCAAAATACAATGCACAGGTGCCTCATGTAAAACTTGACGGTTGTACCAGAAATTACAGCCACAGGGAAAGCAAAACGGATATGCAGATAAACAAACAAGTGCCACCGTGCGGAAGAGCTACCCCTTGGGATGAAACTAGTCATCATCCTTGTAGGAGTATTCCTCTGGGACTTGCTTGGTGAGCTTCACCGCATCTCGTAGGCGTCATCCCCACGAAGCATGTCGCGGACCCATGTAACCTCCGTCTTCATGGAACCTGCACCACCACGTCACTTAAACTTGATCAGTGAATGATAAATGACTTGAAACTGGTAGGATTACAGCTCTGGGAACACAATTCTATAATTATCACACAAGCTGGTCATAGACTGTTTCGCTCAAACACTTTATGTATTCATACTGTAGCAGGCACCCCACTGGTGGTACCATGCAACAGTTAGTTACAGAGATTCAGCATGATATGCCTTATGATCTGGATATCAAGAACATGCAATTCTCAAGTGGAAATGGTATACATTATTATGCAAGTTAATTTACTCTTTTAATGCCAGTTTCATAGAATCGAATAGCATGAGGTCACATGCACCGGGCTGCCTTTAAAATAAAAAACTGTTTGACAAAAGAAAATTATAAAATATATAGCAGCAAAAGAAGACAAACCATTTTCAGTGCGAGTACACATATCTGGTGGAAACCATACATTCAGCGAAAGCATGGAAACTTGGCCTTGTGCCGTTGGATAGAAAATGTGCGCTGCGAGATGGAAGGATGTACAAATTGCAAATTAAACCCCGCAAGAATTCTGCATCTCGGTAGAGAACCTGAGCCCTTCTGTACAATCCCGCTTTCCCGGTAGGCCGTAGCGGATGCCAATCCCCATTCTATTTCCTACCGTAAGAAGCCAGGGTTAGGAAACGATCCTCTCGTTCGGCGTTGGAACGCCGGTAATTCCTCTCCGGTGATTGTCCTGCTAACAGTGGCAGCCCTCCTCTGAGCATTCCGTGCTGGGCCGGCGGTCAGCGAGCGGCGCGGCTGATTCCTCTCCGGCGATTGTCCGGCCAACCCTGCTCAATCCCCAACGATCCCCAACAGGATTTGGGTCCCTAGGTATGCGGACTTGTGCCCTTCATATTTTCTGCTTTGCCCGATTCTCCTTTGTCCCAATGGCTCATCTAGTGGTTCCCTCTTCTCTAGATTAGGCTAAATTTGCAAAGCAAACAGAGGAGGCGACTAGCTCGTGGCTCATTGGGTTGTATCCTCCAAGTTCAGCACATCCTAAGAAGGAAATAGGAGAGGGGGCGAGGTAGTGGCATCTTGCCAGCAACTGCTTATTTTCCTAGAGGTTACTGTCCAGATTTTTGTCTTGAAGAAATTGGCGAGGTATAATTTACTCACTCCTAATTAAGTGTTATATACATATATGACTATACGTGTGTCGCTGCCTGGTGTGTGTGTTGTGTATGACTGTTATGACCGGGGTAACTTATACCCGGAGGAGGCCCACTGGGCAGGTTTAGTTAGGGGCTTAGCCCACAACTTATCTTATTTTTATTAGCATCATGGTTATATAAACAACTATAAGACTCTTTTGAAAATCAAGCAATAAGACTATTTCTATTGCCCGACTCCCAGAGGAGCCGGAACCCTAAAACCCTAGCCACCTCCTGCCCTTGCGCCGCCTCCTCCCTCGCGCACGACGGCGCCCTGCCACCGGCGACCGCGAGCTCGTCCACACCCAGCTCCCTCCTTCCCCTACAACCTCCGTCCTAGACCCGGTAGAACCCTAACTCCTACCACCTCGGTAGAACCCTAGATCACTGTAAACCCTCACACGTGATCCCTAGGTAAAAGAACAGCAAATTCCTAGATTCCCACTTCTAGATCTGATCCCTCAAATGGACACCATCAGACATCAGCAGTTTCCCAATTTGCATATAAACTTAAGAGGCAGGTGAACTAAGAAAACGGGCGTACATCTGATCGAGCTGCTTGTTGACCTCCTCGACCTCTTCGAGATCCGTGAGCAGCTGCCGCATGTGAGCGTGAAGAGCTCCGCGTTCTGCAGAACAACACAACAAGATCAGCGCGGGGTGCAGATGTACGGGCGGTCGGGGGAGGGCTGTGGTTTGGAAGCTTACTACGTGCTCAACGCTGGCGAAGAGGGCGTCGCCGGACTTGGGGGTCGTGAGAGGCGGGCATCGCCGAGATCAGGGCCGGTGGCGGGCGAGAGAAATCAGAGGAGAGAACCACTAGCAGAGTCGCCGGTCTCGAGTAGTTGGGTTATAGGCCAGTTTGGGCTTATCCTTTTTGTTTTGCGGTGAAAGTTTGGGCTTGGGCTTGCCAACTGTATAGTCCATCGGCCCCTAAAAGAGTAGAACAGCCCATTCTTTCCCACTAAAGAAAATAAACTAGGAGGTTCCCTTTTAAAGCAACATTTTTCTTTCCCACTAAAGAAAATAAACTAAAAGTTCCCCACCAATCCCCTCAAAAACCCTATTACCAAACAAGGCCTAAAGTATGATTCACAGAACATCACACGCTGGCACACATCCAGATAGGAGGGAAACGCATGTTAGAAAAATCATAGCACAACAAAAACAGATTAAAACGATGCATTTCTATGGCATTGCCAGGTGACAGGTTTACTTTAGCAGCAGCACCCCCGACACTTAGTTTGCAACTTCTTACCGGAAAACAAAAGACATAAAAACAAACGCATAATGGAATACTTTCTTGTTGCAAGCTAACATGAAAACAAAAGACAGTACATTGACTGAATCACAGGAGTGCAGACATTATTAAAACATAGTACTGTAGAAGGCAACAGGGTTGTAACTGAGTGAAAATAAATAGGAACTGATTATCATGACAGTACTTTCAGCATTCTACATCCAAAATGCCACAGGATCTTGAACGAGTAACGACTTGGTGGTTGCTTTGGGCACTTTGTAGTACTGCGAGTGACAGGTATCGCCAGTCGTCAGTTCTTTACGCTGATCGTTCAGGCTGAGAGAGAATGTTGTGAGACGATACATCCAGGAACCAGGTAGGCTCAAACCAGGAACCCTCACCTCCTTGTTGACACACTGCACGAGACAGAATTTGCTCACGCCTCCCATATAGACAAGGGTAGCACCTACATGCTTATCCATTGGGTCACCAGAAATGAACAGATTCTCCTTGCAGAGATTCATCGAAGGGACAGGGCACCGCCCTTCAGGGGTACCATAGATGGGCACGTCGCAGCAGTAAATTTGGCCGAGGGTGTCCGGTTCTTTGGAGAGCCCGACAAAGGCCTTGAGGTGCTGGTCAAAGTGACCCTGGCCGTCAAAGGGCAGAACCCAATTGCCAAGTAGTTTCCATGAATGCCTCTCCGTGTCAAAACTATAGGTGGCCTCGGTGGTGTCCTCCTTGGTGCTGATGAGGAAGGTCCGTTCTTCAGGGTGCAAGGAGTAGGAAGTGACGTCACAAACATTAAATGGCTGCTGCTCGAGCTCTTTCCACGACCACTCTTTGCTGGAATCTCGATGCGATACCTTGTTTGAGAGCTCCTCCAAGCAGAGCATCTCGAAGGACTCCAAGCAGAGCATCTCGAAGGAGTAAAAGCTCATAGTGAATAGCTTGTTGCCGACCGGGAGGTGGTAGATGGGATAAAAAAGATCTCTCTGCCCAGGGCCAGTGGTGACGCACCGCGAGCGGACGTCCAACATGGGGAAGTAACCTTCCAACAAGTCACCCTCGGGATCTCTCGGATGCATGGCCAAGATCCTGGTGCCAAAGGCTGATGTGAAGTACTTAGGAGATTCACGAGGCGCCACCATGCGGAAGAAAGGCCGAGGAAAATGTGGCACCTTGTCTTGGTCGTCTTGGTCTGAGAAAGCAGTCCGCTGATGGTTCTCGCCGGGCAACAAGTTTACCTTGCGGATGCTATATCCATGGCACCAGTCATCAAAGACAAGGTAAAGTCGCTCACGGCCGCCGCCATGCTCACGTTTCCGCGGCCGCTTTGGCATCCTGTTCTGCCTAATTGTAAACGGGCGGACAAGGTCCAGATTTTTCCTGAATTACTCGTGTTAATTTTAAAGGCGTTGCCCTTGGCCCTTGATCCCTGTAATTTGAATACGAACCGAATCCATCGTCAAATAGAAATCAATCAAGCCCAATCATCCTACTTACTGCAACTCAACCCGATAAATCGAAGTATCCAGATCTGAATCTGGGGCAGCGTAGAAGAAAAGGAAATCGCAGGTACGTACGTACAGATCGAAGATGGTGCAGCGGCAAAACATCACGACTCACCAACACAGTGGGCTTGATAATTGATTGTGTCGGGAGACTACAGCGGCGGTGTGCGGTTGGGGAGGCTCGGAAGCGAAGGGTTTGGTGGGTGATAAAGGGAGGAAACCCTAGGAAGTTCCCGGTGAGGCGGTGACCGGTTGACCTCGTGGGCTGTTCGCAAGGAAAAACTAACTAGGCCTCGCCCTCCCTGCCAGCCCAGCTCTTTTATTTTTCCTTGCTCATCGTAATTTATTTTATGATCAAAAGTTATTTTTCCTCAAAATCTTATTTTTGCTTTGATGCTAAATGCAAATTATTCGAAATTTTCTAACAAAATACTCCGTCCGTCCAGAAATACTTGTCGGAGAAATGCATAAAATTGGATGTATATAGAACTAAAATATATCTAGATACATTCATTCCTCCGACAAGTATTTCCGGACGGAGGGAGTACTTAGTAATCATATATTTAGAAAATAGCTGATCCCGCAAATTTATTTATCACAACCAATAGTAAACATGTCATCTCAACATACAACCATGCATGAGCTTAACATGAACAAAAGTTAGGATCATGTTTTTTTCACGGGAAAAAACTTCCAATCTATTCATCTCCAACAATGATAGTACAGCGAACACTAGAAACGGTAAAAATTACATCAAGTTCCGTAGACCACATAGCGACGACTACAAGCACTAAAGCGAGCCGAAGGCGCGCCACTGTCATCGCCCCTTCCTCGCCGAAGTCGGGCAAACCTTATTATAGTAGACAGTCGGAAAGTCATCGTGCTAAGGCCCCATAGAACCAACACACCAGAACAGCAACCGCCGCCACTGCAGAGTATAGATTAAAAGGATCCAACCTGATGACACAAGAACATATACGAACGACGAAAAGATCCGAGCAAATCCACCAAAGACAGATCGGAGACACACTTCCACACGCCCACCGACGATACTAGACGCATCAACGGAACGGGGACTAAGGCGGGAGACCGTTATTCCATTTTCAGGGAGCCACCGCCGTCTCGCCTTCTTAAGCAGGGCAGAAACCCTAACAAAACTTGAAAAAATATCTAAAAACAGAGCCCTCCCACCGGCAAGGGCTGGGATCCACTCCGCCTTCATGGCCCTAAGGCCACAGGAGACAGGCTGGACCGGCGCCGACGCCGGCGGGAGGTAGAGAAGCCCAAGCTTTTTGGGAGGCGGTGGTTGGCTAGTCGTGACCAATCGGCCGGGGCTGAACCTTGACGGGAGGGACAACAAGTTAATGGGAGGATCATGTTAATTGTACACTACTTGCGTATTATTCATAACTTTTGTAATGGAAAACTTACTAATATTGAAATAATTATCAAGGTTTCTAAACATCTCTTTTTATTTTCTCCTTCACTCATACCTTCTTTACTCCAAAGACATGAAAAAACAGTAAAACTAAGGCAGTGATTAGAGATGCTAGGCTGTAACATCCCAAGTTTTTATTTTTGAATGTTATATATATTAGATCATCATTGCATATCATATTTTATTTGCATTTTTGGCTTGATCCTAGAAATTCTAAGCAACTCAAGGACCCACGGAGAGAGTTGGGGATTTCGTTATTTTCATATTTGAGTTTTCTCAATTTTTGAAAAGAGGATCAATTGGTTTTGATTATTTTTCTTCCTAATATTTCTAAAATAAAAATATATGAGAGGGGATAAAATGACTTCTCCAAAATAAATGAAATATTAGAGGAAAAATGTTAAAATCAATTTATTTATTTTATTTGGTTTTTATTGCAATTTTATTTGAATTAGAAAAATTGCACGTTTTCAAAATTGCATTTTAGGGCCAAGAAAATGTTCATCTTGTTCTAAATATTTTATTTAGATGGTGAAAATTTGTTTTGTCATTTTTAGATTTTTATGTAATTTTCTAGGATTTATTTAAATTTCAGCGGAATTATTTAAAAAAAACTTCAGACCGACCGGGCCGAAGGCCCAGCCAGCCACTGCCTCCCTCGTCCCGTGCCTGCACTGGACTCCGCCGGAGTCTGGGAGACCGCCGCCGCCTCGGTGCCCCTTCCCCAAGCCGACCCCGCCCCCTCCCCTCTTAAATACCCGCCGCCGCCG